ATTCTGGATTTAACAGGAAGCCAATGAAGAGAAGCTAGTGTTATCAGATCAGATCAACAGGAGGTTAAAACCAAAACCTCTCTTTCAGGATCCAGGGTTTGCAGCAAAGCCGGACATCCTGACCGGATCTTTGTGGTGGAATTCAGGCCCGACTCCGACACTCAGTTTGTTTCTGTGGGAATCAAACATGTGAAGTTCTGGACTCTGGCTGGAGGTGCTCTGATGTACAAGAAAGGAGTGGTGGGGACGGTGAAGGACGGCAGGATGCAGACCATGCTCTCTGTGGCCTTTGGTGCCGTAAGTTCTTGGTTTATAACGAATGCCACTTCTAAAAACGTGAGAATGAGTCCTGGTGTTTCCTATGGAAGCAGATTTACCCGGTACCGGCTCCAACTAACACCTGCTGATGTTCATCTGTCTATAGAAATGGCCAAAACACAGTCGCATGATGTTTCATCCACACACCTTTCAAATGAGGCTTTAACATTTCTAAAACATATTTCAAAATAATTTTTTAACAAGTACTTTTTTATATAGCTTTGTAAACAAAAATCAAATTTGAAATTCCACCTGACATGTGTGACTCTGTGGGAGTAATGCAACAGCAGGTATTCATTTTTAGCCCCGCCCACTAATGGCGGCATCATTGGAAACTAGAGGCTCAGACCTTTCCAAGAAGGGGTCAGAGGTCATTGGGCAACTATTTCAGGTGATGTAACCAGCATGCGTTACATAAGCTTGCTCTGTTATTCTTATTTTCTATTCAGTTTGGTGATATTATTGCAGCTAACGGCTAAATCTTAGGAACAAAGACTTATGCAGAAGGTCTCCAATAATGAAAATCAGCATATTTGTCCGACCAGATTCCCTTTTGTGAGTGGAAAAATGCATTTTTGCACATTTGGCACCGCTGTGTCAAAAATTCCATTTCCTCCCAGCACACCGCCCTCTAAAACCTTTGTGGAACAAACCGACTTCAACATAATCAGTCCAAATTTGTTTGACTTATAGTGAAGATGTGGATCTATAAAGTCTGAGGGTTCATCCAGAGTTTCAAATGGGCTTTCATGGTATTTTGAAGTGTTTATTTTGGAAAATAAATATGGTGAGGCTAAATCACCTATAATCACCTATAAATCAGACAAGGTGACATTTAAAATAATAGCTCCACCTGAAAAATATTCCTCATCGCCTTTCTGTTATACAATACAAACTATTGTATTTCCTATTTATAGTTTGGGAGGGCGGAACAGGGTTTAAACAGAATGCCGCTGTTTGTAGGTGAACAGAGAAACTGGCTGCCACTCAGATTTCCTGTGGTACTTGAACGGGTCGTAGTGGAGATGAATCCCTTTCTCAGTGTGAAGCTCCTGTTTGAACCCCAGCTCAGTTTGAAGCT